AAAAAAAAATAGCCAGGCATTGTGGCCGGCTCCTGTAATCCCAGCTACTTGGGAGGCTGAGGCAAGAGAATCGCTTAAGCCCAATAGTTGGAGGTTGCTGTGAGCAGTGATGCCAAGGCACTCTTCCGGAGGCAACATGGTGAGACTTTGTCTCAAAAAAAAAAAAAAAAAAGGGTGGTCCCTGTGACCCAGTGAGTAGGGCGCCAGCCCCACATACCAAGGGTGGTGGGTTCAAACCCAGCCTTGGCCACACTGTAAAACAACAACAACAAAAATAGCTGGGTGTTGTGGTGAGCACCTGTAGTCCCAGCTACTCGGGAGTCTGAGGCAAGAGAATAGCCTAAGCCCAAGATCTGGAGGCTGTGATCTGTGACGTTACAGCACTCTACTGAGGGTGAGAAAGTGAGACTCTGTTTCTAAAAAGAAAAAGATTTCCCAGATGTGAACATTTTAGCACATTTGCTATTATTTCTGTCTATATATGCTATAATTTTTTCTGAACCATTGGTGTGTCAGTTGCAGACGTGATTTCCATATATACCTATATTCTTCAGTGTATTTCCCAACCATAAGGACATCTTGTTTCACCTCATTACAGTGATCAAATTCAGGAAATCAGCATTGATAACAATGTTATTATCTAATCTGTAGATTTAGTTTCATTAGTTGTCCTGATAATATCCTTTATAGCAAAAGAAATGTTTTATAGTTCTTTATCTGTAATATAAATTATAAATTTTATTTATAGATAACTTAATTATTTACAATTAGAAATTATAAATATTTTCTCCTGTCATCTTTTTGTCATTTATCTTTTCACTTTTTTTGCTAAGCAAAATCATTTTATTTTATATATTCATTCATTTTTATGTTTAATTAGTATATGGTAAAATTTACCTTTTGGGGAAGTATATATAGCCCTCTGAGTTTTAATACATACATAAATTTGTGAAATCAAACTCATAATGTGAATGCAGAATACTTCCATCACCCCCAAAACTCCTTCCTCCTTTCTCTTTACAGTCTCCCCCTTCAGTATTTTATTTTTATCTAGTAAAATTTATCAGTCTTTTTAAAATATTATTTCAGGATTTTTGAGTTCTAAATAGAAAGTATTTCTCCCCACTTACCCATCTCTGTTCTCTTCTAGTGCTCGCACCCGTGTGGTTTTCATTTTGTACATTAAAGTTTCTGATCCATTTATTCTGTTGTACAGTGTAAGGTTTGGGTCCAGTTTTATGATTTTTTTTTTTAAATTGCTGTCTGGTCCCAACACCATTTATTAGAAAGTCTGTATTTTTTCCAGCAAACTCTAGGGCTCAGGTGATCCTCCTGCCTCAGCCTTGCCAGTAGCTGGAACTACAGGTGCCTGCCATGATGCCAGGCCAGTTTTTTTTTTTTTTTCTATTTTTAGTAGAGTTTTTAGTAGTGATGGGGTCTTGTTCTTGCTCAGGCTGGGCTGGAACTCCTGCGCTCAAGCAATCCATACTCCTCGGCCTCCCAGAGTGTTACATCTGGCTTTTTTTCTTTTTTTTTAGGCCAGTGGTTCTCAACCTGTGGGT